TAACGAATTATTAAACAAAAAGCCTAAAACTTCAGAGGTTAAAGAACTAGATATAAATGGCCAACTTATTACTGACGATGATAAAATTGCAGATGCCTTCAATCAATATTTTTCCACAATTGGCAGTATGTTGTCTGACAAGATCACAGGTAACTGCACTGATCCAATGAACTTTATGACTCCTCTTGATGCTAGTATATTCAACTTTACAAGCATTACACTCCAAGAAACAATAGATGCACTCAATGAAATTAAAAGTATAAGTAGTATAAGGTTACTAAAAGATGCATCTAACATTGTGGCAGGACCACTAGTGAACATATTCAATGTATCCCTTCAAAGAGCAATTTTCCCTAATGATTGGAAATTAGCAAAGGTGACCCCCATATTTAAAGAAGGAAATGAGGCAGACTGTGAAAATTATAGGCCAATATCTGTTATTTCAGCTGTAGCTAAACTTTTCGAAAAACTGGTATACCTGCTTCATTCTTGAGGCTGAATGGCATTCTTGTGGAACAGCAGTCTGGCTTCCATCATCAACATTCTACTGAAACTGCACTGCTTAGTTCTACAAATGAATGGTTGTTCAATATGGACAGAGGTTTATTTAGCGGAGTTTTATTTCTAGACCTTAAAAAAGCTTTTGATACTGTCGACCATCATATTCTTTTATCAAAGCTTGAATTATATGGTATTAAAGGAACCAGCCTGAAATGGTTCGAATCATACGTTTCTGGTCGAAGCCAAATATGCTCTGTGAATAGCAAGATGTCAGCTGTTAGACAAATAAAATGCGGGATACCTCAGGGCTCTAACCTTGGGCCTATTTTATTCCTATTGTACATAAATGATCTTCCTAACTGTTTAGAGACAACTAAAGCAAATCTTTTTGCTGATGACACAAGCCTTTCTTGTGAAGGGTTTAGTCCATATGAAATTGAGATCAAACTTAATAAAGACATTTAAAATGTTCATAGGTGGTTGACAGCTAACAAGCTCTCATTAAATATGAAAAAGAGTGAATTTATGATAATAGGATCAAGACGTCGCTTAGCTTCAATTGAAAATAGCCCAGTACTAACATTAGGGGGAAACAACATTAAGCGAGTTTACCAAAAAAAGTCACTAGGCATGATCCTTGACGACCAGCTAAAATGGAATAAACATAATGAAATGCAATGTAAAACAATTTCAAATAATATCGCCCTGCTGAAAAGAGCAAAATTGTTTGTCAATAGAGATAGTCTGATAAAAATCTACAATGCCTTAGTGTGGCCTCATTTCAATTATTGTTCAACAATCTGGAATGATGGATGTTGTTCGATAATTGATAAATTGTTTATACTGCAGAAGAGAGCAGCGCGTGTGATAACAGGGGACACATACGAGGTTCGTTCCATGCAAACGCTAGATAGTCTTAATTGGCTTCCAATAGAAGAACTTCTAAAACAACGACAGTTAATAATGACATTTAAAGTACTAACTGGTCGATTACCTCGATACCTTGAAAAATTGTTTTCAGTAAGTCAAAATGACAATTACAATCTAAGAAGCAATCAAATTAAATTGAACCTACCCAAACCTAAGACAAATTTTCTCAAACGAAGTTTCTCGTATAGAGCTGCTAAGTCCTGGAACGAACTTCCAAGTGAAACAATTGAAAATTATAACAATCTTTCAATTTTGTCGTTTAAACGGCAATTACTTAATTCATCCGTATCAATTCATTGTAAATAGTTATATTCTTTTTGTCCTTTTTATATTATTGTTGTAAACACACGGCCCTTTGAAACCAGCGCTGTAAATATTATCTGCTGAACAGGCTACCGTGTTTAAATAATTTTATTAAAGATTAAAGATTAAAGATTAATGTAGAGTCCGAGATATCCAGTCGTTCGGCAGGAACGGAAAACAAAGACCTGGATCTAGAAGAAGAGACTGACGAGTTGCAAGTGACTGAGCAGAATGTTCGCCAAGCTAAGCGTGGAAAACCTGTCCATCCTATCTGGAGTGATGCATTTGACATACCAGATGTACACTACATTCAGAGTCCCAACAATGCCCTTTGCAAGCATTGCAAACAATCTGTACGACACCATCATAAAACACTCTCTGTTGAAACCCATTTGCGTAAATGCCAGCCTTTTAAAAAAATCATGATGGATAAACCAGTATGCCGTCGTCCAGACTGGTGGAATAACAGCGTGAATGGAGCTTCCAAGAAAGCCAAAGTTGCTACTTCAATTTCAAGCAAGAGTGTTTCGTCCTTTGGCAATTTGACGCAGTCTTCGCTGAGATCGTTTGTTATCCCACATTTGAACGCCACGGAGCAGAAGAAGTTTAATCAAGAGATCGCCATGCACTTCTACTGCACAGGAACAAGTTTTGTGCGTGTTGAAGACCCCTATCTTCTTCGGGCTATACAATTGTTTCAACCAGGTACACGACTGCCGACGCGGAAGCAACTAGCTGATGATAGTTCTGGCGGTTTGCTGGAGAGTTGCTATCAGAGAGTCAAGGCGGAAGTTGGTAAGTTGTTATCCTTTAACAAACAGTATATCTGCATCACCAGCGATGCATGGTCCAGTACACTGAACGAGCTGATAGTCAACTACATGGCTGTATCCCCAACCAAGTCACTATTCCTAGCTGTTCACACTGAAGATCAGCCACATGATGGCGGTGTGTTGGTTAAAGCATGGCCGTGTCGTTACAATTTTTCTTGTTTTTTTCTCTTATGTTTAATGATGTATATCAAAACACATTAAACCTTCAAGATAACAATGCCGGGATAAGCCTGGAAGGTTTTGTGGTTGCTGGAAAGTTATCTTCTTCTGTGGCCATTCCCGAAGTTAAAACTCAAAGAAATTCTATCGCCATCGCTTCGCGGCCTTTGATTCCCGCAAGTCGAAAGTTAATGATGGGAGTGTACGTATTGAAGATTGCCTTATCGACAAATATTCTGCTCCTGAGTGGTGATATTGCTTTGAACCCGGGACCTGTGAACTCGAATGTAACTTTCTCGAGTAACGAATCTATGATGTCGGGCTCGGGAATTTCTGATAGCGAGAGGGACTATTCTACGGAGTACTTTAATCTTGGATTGGGCGATAAAGGTTTGCGTATTGGACACTGGAATGTCAATTACTTGACAACAGAAAAATTCGAACAGATAAAGCTATATTTACTCGGTAAGTCAAGACCCGGCAAATCGCAACTGGATGTATTATTTCTAAGCGAAACATTTCTTAATCCAAGTGTGCCAGACTCATTATACACGGTAAATGGTTTTTCTATTTTCCGAAGAGAAAGGCTATTGAAAGGTGGCGGAGGGATTATGGTTTTTATAAGTAATGACTTGACAGTGAAACGCAGAACTGATCTAGAAAGTCATGATGCTGAAGCAATTTGGCTTGAGGTTTATCCATTTAAATCTAAAAGATCGATTATCTTGGGGAGTATTTATCGACCACCATCATCTAAACAAGCCGACGATATAAATATAGAAGCGAATATTGAAAGGATTCACTTGCTGAACAAAGAGATTATAATCGTTTCTGATATTAACATCGATTACAGAAGTAAGTCAAGTTACGAAAAACATGTGCTTGTAAAGGGACTTAAAAGTATGCATTTCAAACAACTTGTAGATTTTATTACACGCCCTGTCAGCAAGACATGTCTTGATCACTTATACTGTAATCAACCTCAAAAAATTAAATTGGTGACTAGTCACAATATTGGCCTCTCTGATCATTTGCCCGTTTTTGCTGTTCGAAAGTATGCTCGTCAAAATCCCAAGGGAGGAACCCACTCAAAAGGGTCTCGAATTACATACCGTGATATGAAGCGCCTTGATGAAAATCAGTTAAAAGAAACGCTGAAACAAGCCCCCTGGGACACTGCCTTTAGAAATGATGACATTGATGATGTTGTTAATGTTTGGGAACAAATACTAAACTGCGCTATTGATTCCCATTGTCCTTGGCGTGAAAAACACGTTAAACAAAATACTCAAGCACCGTGGATGACAAAAACAGTAATTAAACAGCTCCATATTCGGGATCACTTACTGAAGGTTGCAAGACGTACTCATAATTCGGATGACTGGGCAAATTACCGTGTGGCTAGAAATAAAGCTGTCTCAATTCTGAGGTCAGCCAAGCGAGAATTCTATAATAACTCGTTCGAGGAAAATAAGAATAATACAAGGGCCATCTGGAAATCAATAAAAACTTTGACAGGTGCAAAAAACAATACTAGGCAAATTAAAAATCTAAAAATTGATGGTTGTGAGGTGGATGATAAAACTGAAATGGCAGAACAATTTCAACACCTATTTTTCTACAGTTGCAAAAAAAATAAGACGTCATCTCTCCACTGTCCCATTTGACCTGTTTAAATTAGTCAATTTTGTTAAATCACGGAAAAATGATCAGGAAGTTA